TGTCCGCTCGAGCGAAGGAAGTTGCACTCGAGCGGGATCCCTGTTTTCAGCAAATTTTGTTAAGGGTTCCAAAGTGCATTTTGGCATCCACATTGCATCCTAGGCATTCCTAGACCATGATTAAAACTCAATAAGAGGTTAAGACTTAGAAACACACTAAGAATGAAATGAAAGAAGTTAAGTACCAACCGAGAGTGTGTTTCATTATATGTTTCTGCTATATATGTATAGGTCACGCGCCACAAGTTATCTGATATGTCTATTCTGCAAGTGGAGCCATCTGTGAGTAATAACTTTGTAAAGCTATATTCACGTTAAAGTATTTTCTTATACGATATGACAAGAAATGATCTACTTTCTGAAATGCTATGTTCTGTGTCAATGTATGAATGTCCAATTTTTAACAAATATGCGTGGCATCCTTAGCACAAGGCCTTTGCCTGGGGGTAATAATACCGTGGTCTACAAGCACAAGGCCCTTGCCCGGGGGTAATAATAACGTGGTCTACAAGTGCAAGGCCCTTGCCCAGAGGTAATAATACCGTGGTTTCATGGCCCTTACCCGGGGGTAATAATATTGTGGCCCAAATATATTACAAGTACCAGGTACCGGAGGTTCCATATGGAGCTAACAAACATGATAACGCTAATGGATGTACCATTTATGATTAAGTATGAACTTTGATTTCCATATGTTGTTTGAACAAGAATATGAATATACATTTGTTTTTTATATGAACTCTGATTTCTGAATCTGTTATGGACATCAGTCATTTAAACCCTTTATTCTGTTATTATTCACTGGGCTCCCGCTCACTATTTATTTTATGTATATAGGTGAGCAAGCACGTAACCAGGCCTAAGTTGTTGCCTGGAGTGTTCTGAGTCAACCAACCACTGTGCCTCCCTGGCAGGTTCATTTTTTTGAGAAGTCTAGTTCTGTAAACCTCGTGAAGATGTTTTTGTTGGTTGTTTTACTTATCTATATATTGGGGCTAAGTTTCTTTTAGCTGTATCTGTAATGAATGCGACATATGACTATTGCATAATGACGTCACATGTATGTGTATAAAGGTTTAAAATTTCTATCCCATATATGTCTTCATAGCTCAATGGACTATATATGTTTCTATATTTGCTTCTGTAGCCCCTAATTATAAGTTATTCTGTTCAGAGGCCTTTGGTAATCTAAGGATTACTGGCTGATTACGACACTAAACCAAAGGGGCGGGTTTGGGTCGTGACACGGACTAACCCAACGAAGATCGTCAGTCGGTAGCCATAGTACTAGGTGTGTGCACTTTCAGGGCAAAACTTCAAACGTGGGGGCTTCGTAAATGTGGCCAACCAAATTGATATGCTAACTTCCAAAACCCTACTCGCCAGAATTACCAAATCAAGGTAGTCGGTCAAAATCCCCAAACGAAAATGAGGGATTGCTCACGGTCAACAACTTTGGACTCGTTAACAAGCCAGAATGTGGGTCACCTTAAAATTGTGAGGGGCCCAAGATACACTACCAAAACCCAAAAACCCTATAATACGCTTTTTCAAAACGTGACACATGCGCAAACAAGGAAACAAAACTTCCCATAACTAATCCTCAACACACACAGAGAACGTATTTTCACACGTAATAGGACCTCTGCGTGGACAAAATTAAATACAAGACTGATCAGATTACAATTCCACATTATGGGATTTATGGGTCAATTCCCCATAATTATAATTATATTATTTTTGATTTTTTTCCTTAAAAAAAATCAAGCTATTCAAGTTATCAAAGTCGGACTCTTGTTGAACCTTATAAGTCCACCTAAACAGTTTAATTTGGGAAAATTTTATTTCCACACGCTAAATTACCTCAATCCACACACTTAATAAAAAAAATTAAATTATATTTTTATCCTAAAATAAAAATATTAAAATACTCTCGTCTTTCCAACGAAAACCCTTAGTCATCGCCGGCGCCGCCTCCTCCCTAGCCCCCTTGCTTATGATCACTACCCTTCCACAGCTGCCATCCACCGCCAACATCAACACAGACGCCGTCATCCTAACCCAACATCACCATATATCACTATTATTGTTGCCGTCGCTACCATCAAACTGCTACTTTTCCTCTCCAACCTTCATCTTCTTCCGGTGAACTTCTCCAACCCTCTTTCCCAACTTTTATTGCTCATCATCGTTAGGATCATGTCATCCTCTACGGCCACCACAATCGCCATAGCTAGCCTCCTCTCTCCTTTCTCTTCTTTCCTTCGTCTTCTTTTCAAACCCTAAATCTGGGTTTTTTAGATCTCCCTCTCTGTTAGTAATGGCAATCGGGACTGTTATCGGTCATTGGCAGTAAAAATCGGGTTGCGATGGTAAAGGAATACGATAGTCAAAGGTGACAATTGGAAACTACCGGAGGTAGCAGAGACTAGTGGTAATGGTGGTGTGAAGAAGGAAGCAAATGTGGATATTTTTGGTAGAATAAGTTGTGTATTGAGTAAAAAATGAAATTTCAAATTTAATACAGTATGTTTTGAGAAATGATTTACACAGAGAACATTTGATGTGTGGAAATAGAATTTCCCTCTAATCTGGTCTATGGTGTTATAGATGCCTAGACCATCAAAATTTGAGTTTATGTGTACAACTTGAATTATTTATCTTAAGTAGTGTTGGGTGATTATTGGGTACTCTACAGCACCGCTACGTAGTATTCTATAATATTATGATTGATAAAGAAGGTGTGGTATTATAATTTTATGTTGGGTGATTGATGAATATGAGAGGCATGGTGAATGATGATTGGTGAAAGAGTATAAACATGTGGTACTCTGGGACTACCTAATAATTTTTCATGTTGGAGACCTACAAATTGGATTCTTAAATTTATGTACAAGAGAGATAAGTCTCACACAATTGAGTAGGTAACAAATTAAAAGTTAATATGTATCATGCCACATCATTATGAATAAAATTGTGAAAAAAAAATTTGTGGGTCTTAAACAATTTTAATTTTTCTTTTAAGTATTGTGCAAATCATTTAAAATAAAAATAAAAATACAAATACAAATTGTATTAATCAAATAAGTGTAGTCACTTAACTTTAATGCTTTTGTTTTTAAAAAATAGATGATAAATATGATTATGAAATATATTTTTTATTTTTTTAAGATGAAATGATGAAATTATATGGCTACACTTATTGAATAAATTTGGTTTTTTTTAATAATGATTTATATGTAAGTACCCAAAAAATAAACAATTGATATAATTAATGCGGAACGTGTAACGGGCTCATAAACTCGAAACTGAAGGATTAAAGAGAATCCAACATCTTTTCCTTCTGGGTAAATGGATGAACATAAATGTAATATTTAGCTTGTTTAAATATAAGAGCATCAGCATCAGTATTTTTAAAATAATAAAATATTAAAATATAACTAATAAATTATTAAATTCTCTTTCTATCAGTTTCAACAAATTTTTTCTAAATTAATTTTTTGTTAAATTTGTTACAGTAACTCGCAACTGTTCATCGCTAAAATACGCGATTTGGGTGTAACCGGACATCCGCCCGAAAGTCCGGCCGGTCAACCGGTCAACGACAATTTTTTTTATTTTTTTATTTTTTACATTTCCTCCAGTTTTACCTTTTGTAAAACATAAGAATTGTTTGGTTGAGAGCTCATCAATTTTTTTATAAAAAAAATAAAATAAATATTTTAATATGATTAAGTTAAAATAGAGAGCTTGATATAGTGGGTGACTAGCTAAAATAGAAAAATGACTTTTTAAGTTAAAATTTAACTAAAATTTTGAAGAGGCTGATACTGATGCTCTAACTTCTTTTTGAGATATAAGAAGAAAATGTTACAGAGTATCTAATGTGGGAGAATAGAGAAAGAACAATGAAGTGTAGGGTGATCACATTTAAGTAATCGCTCTATCATTGCTTGAATGTGCAGTATATAAAATAAACTTTTCAATAAATTAAATATTTTTTAGGGTTTAAATTAAATATTTAAATAGGAAAGAAATTTTATAGAAAACCAAAGTGATTATAAAAAATTTGGTTCAAAGGGGCACATATTGAAATGTTTTCTTTAAAATTTTGGGTAAGAGTAGAAATATTACAATTTGAGGAAGCAGCTGCAGCCTGTAGGCGTAAACACCACTGCATAATACATGAAAAAATGTATTAAAAAAATAATTAATCGGAAATATGATGCATCATTTTTGCTTTAAAATAATTTTTTTTTTTTTTAAATTACTCAAATTCGCTTCCTCCTCCCTATTGGTAAGAACCAAATCCAACTTCAAATCCTCAAAAAAGAAATATTTATCAAATATGAAAAGAATATCTTATTTCTTCTATGTTTTAAGGAGTTTGATAAGAATGGTCATTAACAAAATCCGAGCTACTCCATTGCACAGCCGAACTAGTAGCATGACAATTGTGCGACGATCGCGGAGGACACGTGGCAGCGCTTTCCAGCAGTGAGTGGACCAGGCCAAGGGGAAATTCACATGCTGTGGGAACGTGTTAATCATTGCCTGGAATGTCACGAATGTGAGACGTGATTCTAACTAAAGCAGTCACGGTTCAATTCCAGTTCAACCCGACGGTTGAACCGGTGACCCGTCCACCCGATCCATTTTCCGGTTCGCTCACCGATCCGATTTTTAAAACATTACCTGGAATGTCACGTATGTGAGACGTGATTCTAAATAAAGCAGAACAGTATGGAAAATGGTGCCTAAAATCTCTCAACGATGATGCACAGTGGTCTATAAGTAAGTTAACCATCCCAAGAACCAAACACGCAACACTTTGCATTCCAGCTTACTTTTCTACTAAAATCTGAGAGGAAGCGCTGGATGCCAGCCTCGAGGTTATCTATTAAGAACATGAATCAAGCCAGAAGCCACTTCTGACAAAGCAAGGCATATATTCTAAACAGAACTTTGATTATGAAGCATAGCAGCACACTGTAAGTAGATAATGTCAACGGCAAGTCCTTTTTTTTTCTTCTTTCTTTTTTCAAACTTGATAAACCAAACCAAATAAACAGCTTCTAAGATTAAATACTTGAAGAAAAGCTAAATTTCCAGTAGTCATGCATACATCTCCTCAGTCATCATATGCTTGTTCTTCTAGTTTTTACCTCTTAACATTCACTAACCTTTGATATTACAATGGGTCTTCCCCAACTCGCAAAGCTTTATGCATAGCGTTGTAAACTTCAAGTCACATGCTGGAAAATCTTGCTGGTCAAAAGGCGGCCACGAAGAAGGAGGAAAAATCATGGTTTCGGCTTTTGAGATCCTGGAGGCAAGAAGGGCTCCCACCAGCCAGACTCGTACTTTGGATACGGTGCCACCCAGTTTTCTGGCTTCTCAAACTCTAGCTTGACAGGATTTGATGCCAACGCATCTTCCAGACTGTCGGCTTCATAGCTTTCTGTTAAAACTCTGTCCAGCCTTAACTTCATGAACCTGTGTAGCAACAGAATCATGCATCAACATTCTTGTTGGTAAATAAATGAAATGCGTTCACAATACATTAATGGTTTTTTTTTTTTTTAACTTTGTTTTAATGTTATTGTTTCATTAGATAAGATCAAATGTACTGTGTCCAAAATCTCTTCAGCCAAAAGACTTAAAATGGCACACCAACTTGGTGGCAGTTATGAAGGAAGGAAGAAGAATTAGAGGCTATGTTGCTTGATGAGCCTTTCCTTAAAATAATCTTATGGGAAAAAAAAAGAAAAAAAGAGAAGCAACCCAGTGCATGAAGCTCACGCTATCGTGGGGTCCAAGAAGGATTTTTGCACAAGGCTTCTGCTATTGCAGAGTCTTGAAAGGGTTAAACATATACAGGTTTATCCCCACATGCGGAAAGGTTGTTTATGTGTTTTTAACACAGATGCTAGGTCACAATGGAAAAACTTTACTGCTATGAAAAGCCCACCCTTTTGTTTGCTAGAATATACTTACCATAAAAACTGATTGACACACTAAAATTGCTGAATAAACTCTTTTCCTGCCCATCTGATTACTGACTAGGCATTCTATTGTGCCATATCACTAAAGGCCAACATTTTTTTTGTTATAGGGTTCCACTTCAAGCAAACCAAAATCCTGCTACTTGCAGGATGCGAAATTTAAGGGAAAATTAGAGAGATAAATCACGAATAACAACAATTGAAAGGGTGTCCTTACGTGATCCACGGACCATTAGTTGAAACAAGAGCAACGGCGGGTCTCTTTAACCGCTTGGTAATGTTTGGAAATTTATCCAAGAACTTGGGTTCAATCACAAGCCAGAAGTCCTGCTCTTTGTCACGCTCTCCATAGTAACGAAGCCGCTCTGACAACTGCTCCTGGAAATGCTCCTCTTCATCCAGCATGAATTTCGCGTTTGCTACAACGAAATAGTACCTTGTGCTGGTTTGTTGCTGCATCTTAAAAAGTGAGCAGATGACAGCTTAGAGAGAAATTACATATTTTATCCAATCATCCAATTACTCTTTTGCTAATAAAAAGTGATGATTTGGCTGGTATTGAATTGATATCTTGGATCATGATTATAAAGCCAATTATAACAAGTATACGAATCTGAATATGTGCACTCCCAAATTCCCAATGTCTATGTCACTGACAGAGCGAATGGTTTGTAACATTCCCTTTTATCATATTTCAGTTGATACGGTCAGGTTCCATAATATAATTGTAATGTGACGGCAAAAGTGAGGAACACAGGCAAGGATTGTGAGGCAAACAAGCCAATTACCCATTAAATAGTTTCTGAGACAGGAATTTAATCATGAAAAACTTTAAATGATAGTGGGATGTAGATCTTCGACTACTGTTTTTGCTGATAATTTAGAAATGGGGTTGAAAAAAAAGGGTTACCTACATTCAACAGGAAAAATGATTTACAAAAAATATATATATAAAAATAAAAAAATTCTTAGAGGATAATGTGGGCTGTGATATTTTCATATTTCTGAACTAGACTAATGAGCTGTTCAAAATAAAAAAGAAAAGAACTAGACTAATGGGTGTTTTGGCATAAAATGAAAAGATCAATTTGTTTCATATAGACAAATTATGTTTATATAGCATTTACCTATTGAGCACTAATAATTGCAAACCTCTGGTCTCCTGAGTAGAGTTCAAATTCTTCAAAATTGATATATGAAGCCCTTATTTATGCATATATCAATGTAACTAAATATACATTTCAAATACCAAATTGAGGAAAACAAACCCATGATCATAGTGAAATGATAATGTTAATCATTAAAGGGTTTTGTTTGCCTATGTTTTAAAGAAATGTATAAAATAAACCAGAGTGAACAGGACTTCTGACCTTTTCGGCAGGATCGGAGGAATCAACGGCAGCAACAGCTGTCTTCACAGACGTGGCAGTTTCCCAGCCGTTGGATGTGGTGGAGATAATGTTCCGTTTGGTCAGAGTTTGCGGCGGAGCAGACCATAGTGGCACCGATTGTGGCCGTTGGAGGCGGCTTCTGCCACTGTGCGTGGCCACGGTTGCAGACAAGGCGGCCATTGAGGCCGAATTTAGAGTTGCTGCAGAAGCTACTAACATTATTGCAGCTTTTGTGGAGGGTCTAATTGCAACTACTCACCTCAGTTCACAAGATTAGAAAGAGAGGAGAGATCTGATTTCTGAGATTGTATATTGTTTTCGGGTTGTGAAGATTGATGGGAGAGTATGGTAATCAGAAGGAGCTCAAGGTAGTGATGCCCAAAAGAAACATGATGAAGGGTGTGTCTGCGTGTGCGTCTCTCTCTCTCCCCCCCCTCCCCTCTGTTCTCTCTCTGTCAAGTCGCAGTGGCAAAAAGAAATGCAAGAAATGAACCACCACCCTTATCTACATTTCTCTCTCACCTTATCCCATCTCGTTCAAAAAAAAAAAAAACATCTCTATGGCGCCCACTGTTTTTACTTGATTTTAATGGAAATTAAAAAGTCGTTTAATTTTGATGGAAAATTTTTACTAGTTTTGGACCACTAATGTCACATATGACAGTCTCAATTAATTAGGTTGATTTTAGCTGAGATTTTATCTTTTATCAGTTGAATAAGACGATTGAAGTTATTTTTAATCATGTTGACACTCGGCCTTATTTAGGAAAATGTTATTTTAATAATTTTTTAATTTTTTACAAAAAATTGTGAATAAAGAAACTAATATGACAATTTATTATCACTTTTTAATTTTTTAACTAAAAATGAAAGTTCTCAAACCAAGCCTTATTAATCAAGACTAACTTGTTTTGAGATGACCTCAGAAATTATTGAATAATTATTTAACTTTGGAGATATTTTACTTTCCTTTCATTTCTATTTTTTAAGAGTTTTATACTGAAGTGTTCAAAGTTGAGAGATCAATTAAGTGGGTGTAACCATTTATTCATAGTTTTTTCTTGTAAGTTTGATATAAACATAATTCATTCATAACTAATATTCAAAAGAGAGAAGGTGTCATACACCACTTCTTTTTTTTCCTTCTTTTTTCCCTTCGTCCCCACTACCCATAATGCTTCTTCACTGGTGAAGCATTTAGAGGAATCCACTAAATGTAGCTCAAGGTTTTATTTTAATGATGTTTTTGCCAATGTGGATTTCCTCATTGAATTGAAGACCACCATAATTTCAAATCTGAAATACTATGATCTCCAATTTCAATTTCTACATACATTCCACTGTCTTTAAGCACTAGTCCACATATTCCTCTTATACTATGAGGCAACCTCGGTAACAGAAGCTGGGTGAAGAAGCATATCATTTCAAAAACCAAATTTTCAACAATCACAACTTGTTTCATCAATCTAAAGCACCCTACTCAAATTCAAACCCTCTCCTAAAGAGAACTCCAACAACAGTTTTGAATGCTAAACCATGATCACTAGCTATTGAACATCAAAACGAGATCTAAACGCACTTTAATGACCTCTACTATTAATGTCACAGCCACTGCAGCTCCCTTCACTGCACCAATATGTGGAAAAGAACACTAGATTACAATTGACATCAAGCACTACCCATAACATAAAAGAATCATACAGATCAAATGCACCATGAAAGTCACAGAATGCACAATATAGACTCAAAAGATCTGTCCAATGGGAATTCCACTACAACAAAATATTAGCATATGAAGAGAAGAAAAAGAATGAGCAAAGCTTTTTGTAGCTAGACAAGCTCAATATAGGCCATAGGTGCATTGTCACCTCGCCTCGGTAGGGTTCTGATTATTCTCGTATATCCTCCATTCCGTTCACCATACCTTTCTGGGACCTCAGCAAACAACGCATGGACAATCTGCTTCTCATAAATGAAGCCAAGGGCTTGTCTCCTTTTGTGAAGCGATCCTTCTTTAGCTAGTGTGATCATTTTATCAACATACTTCCTCATAGCACTAGCCCTTGCTCTAGTAGTTTTGATGCGTCCATGCTTCAGGAGCTGAGTGGTGAGGCCTCGCAACAGTGCGCGGCGCTGGTCAGGTGGCCTATTGAGTTTTGGTACTCTCCTCCCATGTCTCATGGCAAAGAATCGGCTCCCATTGTCAATAATGGTGAAACCGTGGCCAAAGCTGGTAAATTCTGAAAGAGGTCCAAATGAGCAAGCAAAAAGAATTATGCAATGCATAATTGTGCCCATGAATCAATTAGAAGATGAACTAAAAATGTTATCAGAATTCCATTATAGGATTCAAAAAGAAAATGAGTTACATCCCAACTCCTGAAGAAGTGTGTAGCCTAGAAGAGAGTATATCTGAAAACCTTTTCAGGACAAATGATAAATATTATTTGTAGCCCAGTGCAGCAGACTTACCAGTCAATTCTATGACCATGTTGAAAAAATTGACAAACTTAAGCAACCACTCAAGGTCTAGTAGTAGTTAGCATTGAACGGAATATCAAGAAAGCCAAGCTCATGCAATGCAAGTATATGATGAATCTCAACTTATTCAGTTGCAGCCCTTTTGTTTTTTGGGTAAGTCAAGCAATTTTGAAATCGTTAAAAAAATTCTTGAATTACAAACTCTCCAACTATTAGAAAAGAGTATAAAATAATGACATATGTTCAATATGTCTAGATATTTCCATATTTCATAATTTTTCTCCACATTCCTTAGAACAATCCCTGCATCTATTATGTCCTACAAATTTATAGGTCCCAAATTTGTCACTATGAGTGCGAGAAGTAGCATATAAAGACAGGTTCTCATCCAAAATAGAAAATAAAGGTAATTAATTCAATGAGATGGTTGAACCAATTAAAGTCAATGAAGTGCACTCTATAGCTGTGTTTGGTTGGGGGATTTGGGAAGGAATTTGGGAAAGGAAAGGGAAAAGGGAGGGATTTGGAAAGGGAAAAGGGATTGCCAAATCCCCCGGCCAAACACAGCCTGACTCAAATAGAACATATACTCAACTCAACTCAACTCAACAAAGCCTTGTCAAAATTTCATCCAGTTTCTCAATTCCATGAGATCAACCGCCATAATTACAATTAACCACAGCTAAACACTCCCAAATCCAAACAAGGAATCTAACAAAAAAAATTGAACATGTGCTGCTAAAAAAAAAAAAAACCAAATTGCCAACATTTATTGAAGGCATAAGTAGCACAATTGAACAAAACAATATTAACATGAAAATAGAAAACAAATTCACACATATAATAGCACATAGATAGTTACTAAAATTGAAAAGCTCACTTGCAATCGAAGCAATGAACTTGAAATTACATGTTTGTTTAATGCATATATGTGAAATTAGCAATAAGCAACCTAGAAGGGAATGTATGTGTACCTTCAGAGGTGAGGGAGAGAAGGGGGTTTAGAGGAGCGAGGCCAAGGAAAGAGCGAAGTGCTTTGGGTTCGGATTTGGGTAGAGAGGTTCTGAGGCAGAACGAAGAAGGAGAGGTAAAGGACGAACCAACAGAGAAGCCGATTGAAGGAGGACGATGATGGTGAGGCCTTTGTACGGAAGGTAGGGCTGATCGAAGAGACGACATACTCCAAGTGGTCGCACAGGAAGCCATTGTTGGCAATTGGAGATAGTGCGTGCAGGGACTGTGGATTGATTGCTTCCTCTTTCTGCTACTCTCTCTCCTCTTTCTCTCTCTTGGCTCAACTTCTGGAACACGAGAGAGGTTTGATTTTGGTTCATGGATAATTACATATTGGCCCGACTTTTCTTATTTACTTTTCGGGACCTCAACTATCTGTATTTTCTAGTCCACCATTGTTCTCTTCGTTTTTACGCTATGACCCAACAAAACTAGCCGGGTTGATTATTTGTCGGTTTCAATCGGTCATTAAAAAGACTCACATCCATTTGAGATGTTGGTCGGTTTTTTTTTTTTTTTTTGGTATTATTCACACAATTTTTTACCTATCGTAAAAAATTTAAAAATCCTTCCTACACATATTCATTTTAACTCATATTTTAATTAAAACATCACTTTTCAAACAAAAGTTAAAATATATATGTCAAATAAAGATAATAGATAACGCATATGAAATGAAATCTGACATATGTAAGGCTCACTTTTTATATCATATTTGTGTCTCATTTTGTAAAAAAATCATGTTTGCTTAAATTTGTTCTTATCTACTATCATTAATAATATGACATACCTATTAATTCTTACAATTTCCAATTAAAAGTTTTCTTACCAAATTTATTTATATATTTTGGTCTATTTTGAAAACCTGTCTAAAAGCTAGTTTTTTTGACTTTTAAATTTTTTTTGATCACATCACCCTTTTATTTTTCTCAACATTTTTTTTTTAAAAAAAAGGTTTAAAAAGCTAAAAAAATCAACTTTTAACTCATTTTCCAAGACGTCTCTTCTTTTTTTTTTTTGAGTAAATTACATTGATCTTTCTTAAGATTTGGAAAAAAAATATAACAAACTTCACATTTTTTACAAAATTATATTATGTTTTTTTAGTTTTAATTGACATAACTTTTTTTTTTATTATTATCAATAATTGGTTAGTTATGTAGATCAAAAAATGATGTTATCACTATTTTCACATTAAAATGTATATTTTTATTTATTTATTATTGTATTTTCACATTATTTATATTAATTTTCAATCCGTTTAGACTTATTAAAATAAAAATTAATATAATTCTATTAAAATTATGAGACTTGAAATATTTTCTCAAAATCTCAAAACCTTTTCTTTCTGGTTAGCTAGAGCATCAACAATGGATCCATGAGTGAATGTGTTTGTGTCAACTGTTAAAAATTTAGCTAGTGAAACTCTTATTTTGAACTCCAATGGAGCCATTAATGGCCTAGACAGTGCAACACATTAGTGTCAGATGCTAATGAGATGACCATAGTTAACAAATGATTTGGCCAGCAGAGAGAGAAAAGAGAAAGAGAGAGATAGAGAGGGAAGCTGAGACAATGCAGTGGGGTGGGCCCATTACACTTTTAAATTATTAGATTATTTTTTTTATTGTTTATATTGTAGGACAATCTTCACTGTATTTAAACAGATTTAATTCTGTTGTGTACAAAACAACAACCAGAATATAAAGAAATAAAGAAAAGGAGAGAATATGTTTGATTACAAAAATCAAACTCGAAATAAAAAATAAATAAATAAAAACAAAACAGATTTTATTTTGTTACAAAAACAAAATTAAAATCTGAATAAATAAACAAATAAAAACAACACTGAAAGTAATTAAATAACTTACTTGATTTAATTTCTTCGAATTATTTTTCTGATCAAGTCCAGTGTTTAACACTGTGTCCTTAAGACAGATTCGTCATCTCCACGGTGCTTTCAGAATTCGGACGTCTATCTCCCAGGATGAAATGATCTACCACAAACAATAGCAGCACTACTAACTGTTTGCCTTACGAACACACTAAGTGTTTACACTGTTTCTTTGGAAAATAAAATGCAGCAAGATGAAGAATAGAATTAACAGAGGTGAAATACGAAATTTCTGAATGCAAAATATCAAATGAGGGTGGTCCTATTTATAGATGTGAAGGTGGCTCTTGGTTTTGAATTAAACAGGTATGTAACTCTTGGTTTTGAATTGAACAGGTATCATACCTGTTGGGTTTTGAATTCAAACAGATTTGAATCAATTCAAACAGATAGTAAAACGGGAAGGGCCCTGTTTGGGTGTGCACTAATTCCAAACTAGTTTATTGGCGCGCGCGTGTGTGGTGATTTTTGGGTCCAATGGGTCTAGCCCATTTTGCCCATAACCTCTCCCTCTAAAACACTTGGGTACCCCTTGGGGCACACCCCAAGTATCTCACCCTAAGCCTTATAAACCCTTTCAAAACTTCCCACCAAATCAATGTGGGACAAGCCAATTTACCACCTTAAGGAATTTCCACCAAAACTGCATTTCCATGGTGCACACTTTGGCTTCAATTTCCCATTCACTCGGTAATGGTTTTGAGCAACCAAATATACCACGTGAATCACAACGCGGCATAGAACGCGTTACCACTTTGACCCGAGTTAATCGACACTCGGGGCCCACCTAAAAAATAGACCTAACTTAGGAAAAATTAACCATTTCCAACATATATATATATTCTTAACACATCTATTGTATCACCATTCGGTCATTAAATTAATAAACTCTTAACACACATTTTTTGGTCTTATTTTTATCGCTTTTTGTCATATAACACACTTTAATACAACCATTAGACCATCTCCAATAATTCACCAAATTCATTATCAAAATTGAATTTGGTGAAAAAGAGCAGATTTTTTTGTCTTCAACAGTTTTATCAAAACGATATCAAATTGAGAATGACCCAAATTTTTCACCAAATTGAGGATGTTGTGGGTCTTTCAGCAAAGCACTATTTATTACCGTTGTATTTTTATTACCAGATGACCATCTTTCGCAAAAATTTGTACAAATTTTACACTGGGAGGTCGACTCCCCGAATGATTCCTTAAGCTTGAAAATTGAATCTTGTTCAACTATAGAATTGACACAATGAGACGGGCGAACCTCTATTTTCTCAATTGATTGTTGTGCATCTTCAAGTGTTGACGAAGCCAATTTTTCAATTGACAACTCCGCACTTGGTGGTTGTGCTTGATCCTCATCACGAGCTTTGCCATTAAAATCCATAAAATGGGCTTGACTGCCCTTAGGTACTTCAATTTTTGAAGATAACACACTTGTGTGTATGGAATCTTGTTCAACTACTTTTTTCTAGCAACATGTTTGGTTCAACGAGATCCTCGAATTTCTTGTTGTTTATTGAAAATCCAATTTCTATAATACCTTCCTGACTAACCTCATGTACTCCTCTCGATCTAGACTCATTCTCATCCACTTTGGATAGCTGAGATGAGGCAACCCATATTTCCTCATTGCCACAAGTGGTCTGCTTGTCCAAATCCACATCCTCATCAGGCATCAAATGTTCTCCCACAATAACTACATACGACATTGCCAAAAAAAAAAATCCTCTTTACGGTCGTCCACCCCCCCGATATCTAGTGCGTTTTGATAAAAGCTACAATATACTCTGTTGGAGTGGCTAATATCAGATTGAGCAAAACATCTTTTTTTTACTCAAATTTGATAAAAATTCTGATAAACCGTTGGAGATACTCTTATGGATGTTCTTACAGCCTTTGTTTGAGATGTGAATTGATTTTTAGACTTTTTGATTATTTTATTCTGGAGTCAAAAAGTCTTGTTTGAAATGAGTTTTTTGATTTTCTTGAATTTTGTGAAATGAAAAATGAAATGATTATGGTTTTGATGTGACATTTTATCTAATTAATTTTAGTCTATTTTGAATTTTTTTTTTGACTAAAACAGCCAAAAGAAAAAAAAAGAAAAAAGAAAAAGTTCATGCCAAACATACCCTAAATGAAGTATTTGGATTGAGACCCATAAACCGTTACGACGTAACCTAGTAGACGCTTCGTTTGGGAAGCAAAATTTAGGACTTTTTTTGGCTATTTTAGGTACAAAAAAATAAAATAGGCTTTTTAGCCCGATAAGACAAAACATCATATTTAACCCATAATCATTAAAACCCTTCCCAAATCAGGCTTTTTAGCCACAGGTTAAAATAGTCAAAAAAATCAAAGAGCCAAAAAGCCAACCCATTTTCCAAACGAACCCTCAATTTGTTACTAAAAGATAAAATAGATTAAAATAATTAATAAAATAAAATATCATATTTAATTTATAATCATTTTATTTTTTCTCTTACAATCATCAAATCAAGTATAAAAAAAAACTCAATCATCTTTTCAAATTGAACTTTTTTAACCAAATTAAAATAATAATAAAATTAAATAGACAAATAAAATAGCTGACTTTTCAAACCAGACAAAGAGCGAAGAAGGTTTTTACGAGTCACCCCCACGGCATATGGTAAGACTAACCGTAGACAAGCATACCCCAGGTACAGGCTCCATAGACACGCACACAGAACAGAACCATCTCGTAAACAATGGTAAAGGCCGTAAAGCTGCTGGTGGCGTCTCTCTCCTCCTCCAGTTGCTTCATAACATTGTACACCTCCAGAACCAGAAGCCTCCGCCCCATCGCCACCACTTCCGCCACCAGCGCCGTCGCCGCCTCCAATCTTCGTTTACACATCGCCAGAGCTTCGTCTACGTCTACTCATACACACAAGGCAAGTACACATCGATCTCTATTTCACTTCATTCACTCCCTCAGCAAAATTATATTCAGTTCCATTGAATTCGCTTTGGAAATCAACAGATGAATTCGGAGCTTTACACATTCGGACCTTACAAAATTACCCCCAAGGAAGTCTTCTACTCCACCGATCTCTGCTTCGCCATGGTCAACCTCCGCCCTGTTGTTCCTGGTAAACTATACTTACACATTTAAATATATGTATACTTGCGAATAAGTGTTTTGAATTGGGTTGTCTCGTCCCCAAATTGAAATGATGGTGGTGAAATTATTATTTTTTAGGGTTTTAGTTTTTTTAACAATTGTTCAGAATGATCTATGAATTTACAAATTTATTTCGGCTTTACGGTTTTCATATGAAGTTTGAACCAATTCTAGTGCCCCATATATATATATATAGCTAGGGTTTTAGTATTTTTTAGTAAATTACATTGATCTTTCTTAAGATTTGAAAAAAAAATATAACAAACTTCACATTTTTTACAAAATTATATTGTGTTTTTTTACTTTTAATTGACATAACTTTTTTTTGTTATTATTATCAATAATTGGTTAGTTATGTAGATAAAAAATGATATTATCACTATTTTCACATTAAAATGTATATTTTTATTTATTTATTATTGTATTTTCACATTATTTATATTAATTTTCAATCCGTTTAGACTTATTAAAATAAAAATTAATATAATTCTATTAAAATTATGAGACTTGAAATATTTTCTCAAATCTCAAAACTTTTTCTTTCTAGTTAGTTAGAGCATCAACAATGGATCCATTAGTGAATGTGTTTGTGTCAACTGTTAAAAATTTAGCTAGTGAAACTCTTATTTTGAGCTCCAATGGAGCTGTTAATGGGCTGGACAGTGCAACACATTAGTGTCAGATGCTAATGAGCTGGCTATAGTTAACAAATGATTTGGCCAGCAGAGAGAGAGAGAAAAAAGAAAGAGAGAGAGATAGAGGAGGGAAGCTGAGACAATGCAGTAGGGTGGGCCCATTACACTTTTAAATTATTAGATTATTTTATTTATTGTTTATATATATATTCTTAATACATCTATTGTATCACCATTCACTCACTAAATTAATAAACTCTTAACACACATTTTTTGGTCCTATTTTTATTACTTTTTGTCATATAACACACTTTAACACAACCATTAGACCATCTCTAATGGTTCACCAAATTCATTACCAAAATTGAATTTGGTAAAAAAGAACAGATTTTTTTGTCTCCAACAGTTTTATCAAAACGATATCAAATTGAGAATGACCTAAATTTTTCACCAAATTGAGGATGTTGTGGGTCTTTCAGCAAAACATTATTTATTACCGTTGTATTTTTATTACCTGATGACCATCTTTCGCAAAAATTTGTACAAATTTTACATTGGGAGGTCGACTCCCCGGATGATTCCTTAAGCTTGAAAATTGAATCTTGTTCAACTATAGAATTGACACAATGAGACGGGCGAACCTCTATTTTATCAATTGATTGTTATGCATCTTCAAGTGTTGATGAAGCCAATTTTTCAATTGACAATTCCGCACTTGGTGGTTGTGCTTGGTCCTCATCACGAGCTTTGCCATTAAAATCCATTAAATGGGCTTGACTGCCCTTAGGTACTTCAATTTTTGAAGATAACACACTTGTGTGTATGGAATCTTGTTCAACTACTTTTTCTGGCAGCATGTTTGGTTCAACGAGATCCTCGAATTTCTTGTTGTTTATTGAAAATCCGACTTCTATAATACCTTCCTGACTAACCTCATGTACTCCTCTCGATCTAGACTCATTTTCATCCACTTTGGATAGATGAGATGAGGCAACCTATATTTCCTCACTGCCACAAGTGGTCTGCTTGTCCAAATCCACATCCTCATCAGATATCAAATATTTTTCCCACAATAACTACATGCGACATTGCCAAAAAAAAAAAAAAAAAAAAAAAAAAAAATCCTCTTTACGGTCGTCCCCCTCCCGACATCTAGTGCGTTTTGATAAAAGCTACAATATACACCGTTGGAGTGGCTAATATCAGATTGAGCAAAACGTCTTTTTTTTATTCAAATTTGATAAAAATTCTGATAAACCGTTGGAGATACTCTTATGGATATTCTTATTAAGCCTTTGTTTGAGATGTGAATTGATTTTTAGACTTTTTTATTATTTTATCCTGGAGTCAAAAAATCTCGTTTGAAATGAGTTTTTTGATTTTCTTGAATTTTGTAAAATGAAAAATGAAATGATTATGGTTTTGATGTGACATTTTATCTAATTAATTTTAGTCTATTTTGAATTTTTTTTTGGACTAAAATAGCCAAAAGAAAAAAAAAAGAAAAAAGAAAAAGTTCATGGCGAACATACCCTAAATGAAGTATTTGGATTGAGACCCATAAATCGTTACGACATAACCTAGTAGACGCTTCCTTTGGGAAGCAAAAGTTAGGACTTTTTTTTTTGACTATTTTAGGTAAAAAAAATAAAATAGGCTTTTTAGTCTAATAAGACAAAACATCACATCCAACCTATAATCATTAAAACTTTTTTCAAATCAGGCTTTTTAGCCACAGGTTAAAATAGTCAAAAAAAAAAATTAAAGAGTTAAAAAGTCAACCCACTTTCCAAACGAACCCTCAATTTTTTACTAAAAGATAAAATAAATTAAAATAATTAATAAAATAAAATATCATATTTAATTTATAATTATTTTATTTTTTCTGTTACAATCATCAAATCAAGTATTAAAAAAAACTCAATCATCTTTTTAAATTGAACTTTTTTAACCAAATTAAAATAATAAAAAAATTAAATAGACAAATAAAATAGCTGACTTTTCAAAAACCAGACAAAGAGCGAAGAAGGTTTTTACGAGTCACCCCCACGGCATATGGTAAGACTAACCGTAGACAAGCATACCCCAGGTACAGGCTCCATAGACACGCACACAGAACAGAACCATCTCGTAAACAATGGTAAAGGCCGTAAAGCTGCTGGTGGCGTCTCTCTCCTCCTCCAGTTGCTTCATAACATTGTACACCTCCAGAACCAGAAGCCTCCGCCCCATCGCCACCACTTCCGCCACCAGCGCCGTCGCCGCCTCCAATCTTCGTTTACACATCGCCAGAGCTTCGTCTACGTCTACTCATACACACAAGGCAAGTACACATCGATCTCTATTTCACTTCATTCACTCCCTCAGCAAAATTATATTCAGTTCCATTGAATTCGCTTTGGAAATCAACAGATGAATTCGGAGCTTTACACATTCGGACCTTACAAAATTACCCCCAAGGAAGTCTTCTACTCCACCGATCTCTGCTTCGCCATGGTCAACCTCCGCCCTGTTGTTCCTGGTAAACTATACTTACACATTTAAATATATGTATACTTGCGAATAAGTGTTTTGAATTGGGTTGTCTCGTCCCCAAATTGAAATGATGGTGGTGAAATTATTATTTTTTAGGGTTTTAGTTTTTTTAACAATTGTTCAGAATGATCTATGAATTTACAAATTTATTTCGGCTTTACGGTTTTCATATGAAGTTTGAACCAATTCTAGTGCCCCATATATATATATATAGCTAGGGTTTGAGTATGTGACTAGCCCCGAAGTTTTGAAAACCCATCTTATTATAGTAGAATTAGTTAAAAAATATTTACAATTACGTGGTCACCTAAGCTGGTTTTTTGGAAAATATTAGTGATATTGTAGGCCGTAGTGTACAATTTTTTTGGTTGCATGTGTATATATTCATTCAAGAACTTTCTATATTTTTGAGTGCCCTGGGATATTTTATAGATTATAATACTCTATTGTTTCTGGTACTTCTGAGTTCTGTCAAGATCAGGGAGTATGAATGGGAGATTGAAGAACAGTGCATTGCAAAAAGGAAATTACCATGGTATAAGTTGGTTTTATGTATATTTATATGCATCAACATAAGTTGGTTGCATATTTGTATGTAATCAATGTATGTGTGTAATTCGCTTGATCCAAACATATACAAAGCAATTGTACTGTTTCATTAACTCGTTTTTGGGTTTTGTCATTTTAGGTGTGGGTACCATGTGTTTATCTTAATTGTCTTTTCACCTTCGGTACATCATTGATGTTGTGTCTTCATTTTTTCCTACTCATTTGACACAACATTTTCGTGTTAAACTGTTAACTTCTTTGATTTTGATTAATTTTTCTATCCTTTTGCAGGTCATATCCTTTTTTAGCCTCATTATGGTTAGATATTGTGGTTGAAGTAATGTGTTGGGGTCTTTTTAGATCTATATGTGCATGTATCTCTAACCAAATGGGAGGAAAAAAAGGTATTTCTAACAAAGTCAAATACCATAGTTTTTTTCCTCAATCCTTTTCCACCTTGAACTTGATTTTTCAATTTGTTCTTGAGGCTGATTTTCAATTGGGCCTGCCTAAGTTTTTAAGCTCATCAGTGGTGAAGTGGATTCCAACATTGTATGCATGTGTGCACACGTAAATGTACTCACAGCCTATATCTGATGCATATTAGCATGTAATTTTTTTGACTTAGGGGTGGTTTGGGATGATCTAAATAAGTGTACTTTTTGACTTTTTATGAAATATGGGTTGTGTATGGGTTAGGTTTGAAGTGATGTGTTAGAGAGGTGAAGCAACTTAAATAAGATGATGTAATTTAAATAGGATAGTGACTTTTTGACTTTTTTAGATCATGCTAAACAAGGTCTTAAAGTAGAAGTTCCTTTGATGTAGTGTTCTAGCAATGCCTTCAAACTGGTGCATATATGCATACATACATGCATGCCTATGATTCTCTCTATGCCAGAGTTGGTGTATTTTCTATCTAAAGGAGATGATCAAAATACTTTGGACTACTATGGGAACTTAACTGTGGGCATATGTATTAGCATTTAGCACTATATATTATTTTTTTGGCTCAAGACTTTTAGTTGTTTGTGCACCCATATCTGATATTCAGCTTGAGCTATTGTTGGGTAGTTTCATTAGATGCCACAACATAGCTTAAACCAGTCATGAATATTGTGAACTCGAAGTTGTCAGTTGGTTAACTTGACAATATATACACGTGCTTGTCTGCCCAAGGCGTGAGGTAAAGCGCTTTGTTGATCTCACTGCTGAGGAGACTGTTGATATGTGGCTTACAGCGCAGAAGGTTGGTAGTCGGCTCGAGAACTACCACAAAGCATCTTCACTAACATTAACTATCCAAGTAAGATGGCTGCAATTTAATATTTCCTAAATATTTAGTTAGACTTTTTTTCTTTTTCTTTTTTTTCTTCTTAATGAATTTATTGTATATATAGTTTTTACAAGTTGATAATGCATCATTCAGAATAAGGTTAGGTTTGACATTCCTTAAAAAAGTCAAAAAGTCAAAAATTCACTATCCTATTTAAGTCACACCACCTCTCTACCATATCATTTCAAACCCAACTCATATTTCATAAAAAGTCAAAAAGTGCACTTATTTAGATCATCCCAAACAACTCCTAAATTGCACATACTGATCCTCAACCTAGATTTTTGAAACTACTAACCAAACATTTTGTTACCTTTCTTAACCCCGGCATAACAAAATTTCTCTTCAAAGGCCACTTCTAACTTTATTTTCTCCCCTTTGATTGAAAGGACCTAATATTTTTCGTCACTTTTGTTAAATGGGGAGCTATCATGATATCTATCATTTTGAAAATCATAGTAAATATATTGGTATGGAACCTTAATCCCCAGCATCTACCGGAAAATGTAACCAATATCATGATTAATAAAAAAATTTATTAATTTTATTTATGAAACCACACAAACTTTTATTTATTTATTACATTTCCCTTATCATCAACTGTTACATCTTGAGTCACATCACTATTTTTTACACTAATGATTACGTTTCGTAAAACATTAGAAAATTCTGCGGGGTCCATAACAACTGATCTTCTACGATCAACTTCCTCTTTGCTAACACCAACCTTCGAAATCGACGGACCAGGATCAACATCACTAGTGTCATCACTACCACCTCTGCGTACATCAATCTCAGACAAACTTAGACGACCTCTGCGTTCATGAATAATTGAACCATTTTTTCCAAAACCTCCTAACAACAAATCTCTTCGTCTCTCCGATAAACCCACAAACTTAGTTCGTGTCAGAATCAGAATGGCCTTCGTTGGGGGCACAATGCCAAACATCAACATTATCATTAGTATATTTTTTAGATAACACAACAATAGATAGGGCCCTCATTTGTGAATCTTCTGGCTCGTCACTCGTAGAATACTTCAAATACCCCTTCATTTTATAATACGTAATCCCCTTTTTAATATTCGAATTTTCAAGTCGATACTTCACCATACATAGCACCTGTTTGTCATTAATTGAACAATAACCATTCCTATAATAGACTAATTTGCATTGACAATCCACGGGGAAAAGAAACCACTCCTGCAGACTGTCATTACCATCTAACCTCCGATCATAAACATTTACTCTAACTAACCCACTGGCATTGGGTGCGCAAAAGGGGAATATTTTATCAATATTTTATCAATCTTAATACTCTTTTGTTTGTATCTTAACCTCAACTGAGAAAATAAATTGGGCAACGCAAGTTCAATATAACTAAAATCACTTGCTGAAACACCTTCAACAACACCAGTTTTTATATCATCAATCTCCATTCAAAACCTGAACATTACAAATAAAAAAACATAAATTATAATTCTAAACAGCCTTAAAGTACATTTGACTCTTTAACGTAATTTTGCATTCTTTTTCACTAACAGTAGCAGCCACTAAATATATGGCACCCTTCTGAATACTTTCAACATTTCCTAACAACGTTTCTTTGTAATCCGTCCAAACATTAACTGGGAAGAATTGGTCCACAACTTCTATCCCGTAATGAACGTACTCTTTGTCCTTGCCATCAACGAGCTTGAATTTCATTTTCTTTAGCATTCGAAACTGGTCAAACTAGTCAAGAGCAACAATCCAGGTCTCAGGATTACCTTTGTCAACTCCAATAAATATGTGGGGACGGAATCTGACGGATTATTATTACTTATGACAAAAAACAATACGTGGTGGACGACAACTTCTTCTTTAGCATCTTGTCCTAATTAAATATTCTCAATTACTTTTATACCCTTAACCACGACCTTGTTTGATTGACGGTCACATCTTTTATTACTCAACTCAATACCATTAAGCAATCTCGCTACATTTAACGTTCCTTAATTGTTCATCATACAGTTGTAATTTCCTTACTCTCCTCTTAGTCTTCTTAATATTTCGGGGAATATTCTGAACGTACTGTCAGCAAACATGTCGCCTTAAAAGCTGCACGACCATGGTAACTCCTCTTATATCCACTAGCTGCTGATGTCCTTGACTTCCGGTACGCAAGGGGAGTCTGATACTGGCTGCTCATTACTCCTTTCATTTTTGATAAAACACTCCAAATCTTTTATCCTACAAATTCTGCAGATTCTCTTACCTCTACTAACCTTAGTTGCACGAAGCGGGAGCAGGAGCGAGAGCGAGAGCGGGGAAGCGTGGCCATGTAAAGGAGTCGTAATTTGGGAGCGCTTATATATTATTTTTATTGAAATATTTTTAATTTATCTATATAAACATTTTAAAAAAAAATTTAATTAACATATATATGTTAGAAAAATTTTATTTTTATGTAATATTTAATTAATTAAATATAACATAAAAAATATTTTTAAAAATGAATAACAAATAAAAGTAGTGAAGTGATATTTTTTAGAACACTAGTCATTATCTTTGAATAAAATATATTATATTTTATTTAATAAAACAACATTTATGTTTTATTTAAATATATTTTGTTTATTTTTTATCTTATATATTATTTTTATTGATAATATTTTTAATTTATTTATATATATTTTATAATTTTTTTTTCTCCAATTAATATTTGAAATATATTATAGCTATCATAACTTGTTATAAATTATATTTTATTTTGTGTTGTTAGATTTTACTTAGAATTAAAATCTATTTATTTTGTGGATATAAAAATTAACATTAACTTAATATATATATAACCTATTACATTTATTTATATTTATAAAGGTAAAATAAATAAATAGAAAATATATGAGAATAATTATAAATACATTTAATAGTTATATTATAATCAAGAAAGAGAGAAGAGAGACTCAGCAGAATCAAAAAAAAAAAGAAAAGAGAGGAGAGACTCAAACAGAGGCGAGAGAGGAGAGAGAGAGAAGAGGAGGAGGCGATCAAGAGAGAAGAAGAGTAGATCGAGAGACGAGACGAGATCGATTGACGGAGACAGGAGACGAGATCGATCAACCTAGAGACGAGTCATGAGATCGAGAGAAAAGGGACAGACAGATCGAGAGGAAGAAGAAGACAGATCCTCGACCAGATTCATGTTTCTCTAGCATCAAACTCGCGACTCTTTTTCGAATCTGATTCAGAAGCGCAGAATCGCGCTTTTGAGGAAGAATCATGAGCAAGTTGAATGATTCCTGCTACTACGCTACTAACCCTTCTATTCAGACATCTTAACTTTGATATTTTTGCCCTCTGCTCCTCGTACACCGGAACAAACTTCGCTGGAGCTGAACGCCGGCTCTCTTTCCACAGTCCTATTTGCCACGTCAAAAAGCGATCTACACACATTTGAGTGAACTGCCTGTAATTCTCAGGATACTCTTCTAAGGAGTACAACATTATATACCAATATAATCAACAAAAAAGAAAGATAGAAAATGAGGGATGAATCAATGTGCCAGAAAACAATTTCACCACAATAGTTAGTCCACTGCAAAAGCATATTTCTCTCTTTCAACAAATGTTTTCCAGTACCAAATAAATAGCCAAAGTGGCCCGTGTGTAAGGACAACGATGTCCTATTCAAAATAATTCAAAAGCATAATCATTTTTTCGGCTTTGCTTTATGTCTATCATTCTGCAAGAAATTTTTCTTTATAATCACACAAACCGTCAAAAACACGACGTGTGTATCGCACTATCCGACAAAGGAATCAAAAGTACTCACACCACTCATACCTGGGCCCTGGGTGTGACTTCCTTTTAATCCCATCCATACACGTGTCCACAAGTACAACAATGGACGACCCAGATCAGCGCGGGAGGGGAGTGCCCCCCCAGTCACACCACTCACACCATTCACACCGGGTTTTTTAACTAATAGTGAGGCCTTGTACGGCTGGTGTGAGTTCACTGTTTACCACTACAAAATACCTCGCCAAGCCTTTTTTCGTTTCTATGCTAAGAATGTTTTTCTTACCTACCCACAAGTTGATCGTAGAGGATCAGTTGTTATGGACCCAGCAGAATTTTCTAATGTTTTACGAAATGTAATCATTAGCGTAAAAAATAATGATGTGACTCAAGATGTAATAGTTGATGATAAGGGAAATGTAGCAAGTAAATAAAAGTTTGTGTGGTTTCATAAATAAAATTAATAAGATTTTTCATTAATCGTGGCAATGGTTACGTTAACATTAAATCATTTTCTTATTTTTGGGGACATTGCATCTAACCAACTACTGTCCCCATTAGTTAATATAATACATGGAATTCCTCCTCTAATAGTGAGATCTGGTTGAAATTTAACAAAAATACATGGAAGTCTCTCTGGCAACCTACTAAATTCTTCATTAATTCAGTAGGGACTGTCGAGTATCTGATGTCGTCTATGACGTTGTAGACGGCATCTTGATCGTAGTCCTTGAAGCTTATTCTGCCGAAGAAGTAATTGTGTCGTCCGAGACTTCTGGCCCAAGCACTTTTTCCGCTGTTCTGGATCTTATTATCAGAGGAGGATGAAAGATCTTCGTCAGTATGTGAGTCGTGTATATTATTCCTGTGTATCCCTAATCTAATGTTGTTGTCTTCATTAGAGAAACAACAATTTTGACATAATTCGTATTTTACAAAATTCTGACTTACAAAGATACATTAGGCATTTGATTTACTTGTCCACGATTGCACATCTTATTTTAGAAGACCAACCAATTTGGGAATGTTCTCTTCATAAGAAAGGACAAAGCAAGGGACTAGATCAATGTCACATGGACCACAACGCAAGCTCATTTATTGCATTATACGACTGGAAGTTATAGGTTTTACTTCTGTTGTCATTTACCCAAAGTAGAGAATTAATGCAAAGGGCGAAGAAGAAAAAAAAAGAATAATCTGACACTTTAAAAGTGTTGAAACAGATGATTTTATGAATTGATCCACTGCATTTTATGTGTCAGTTATTATAATAGCTGCTGTTCATCCATCGATAGTGTATGAATTATGTCATGTAGATGTTAACTATTTGATTTTTGTTGGCACCTTAGGATGGTCCCCAGGCAGGACAGACTGTCCCCCATGTTCATATCCATATCCTTCCAAGAAAAAGTGGTGACTTTGAGAAAAGTGATGATGCTTATGATGCTGTAAGACCAAATGTTCCTTTCAATTCTTCTTGTGTTGGATTATTTATATTGTTTCCTTGAGCTGGAGAGATCTTAGAATTGACTTATCGTCTGGTTGTCATTCATTGTGTAGATTGATGAGAAAGAGAAGGAACTAAAGCAGAAACTCGACTTGGACAAGGAAAGAAAGGACAGAACCCTTGAGGAGATGTCTGAAGAGGCAGATGAATACAGAAGGCTACTTTCATAAGTCATAATTATGTTAATATTGACCGGTGGTGCAACATATAGTTGATCTCTCCATGTTGTTTCCAACATGTTTGGATGATTGTATTGACCTACTAAGATGCAGTTTATGCATTACCAGTATATGGCTTACTTCATTCATTATTATGAAATGAAGACGACATTTTTTTTTGGTTTGGAACCAGTTCTGTTTTGTTTAATCTAAGATGTTTTTGGTAGAATGAAGGAACGAGGGTAGGTAATTGAGATACTCTTGAATAGAGGACATTTTCTTTCAGCTTTTGCTCTGTGTTTTGCCTACACCTTGTTGCCAATCTTCAGTGGCCTTGATTTCCCACAGCCATGCTGATTTAGCACAAGATGGGTCCTTTGAACTAGCAGTGAATGTTAAAATGAAATTTTTAGTAATGTTGGATCCACAGGAGCTTTATGTTATTGAAACTTATTTCTCACAGTAAAGAAATCCATAGTTAAATGATTCTTTCCTTCTGATCTAGCAACCAAATGTATCTAACATAAAGCTCGAATGATGCTGCAGCACCTTTTGACCAAGTATGGGGAGGATAGTTTTATTCGAAGTGTTTAATTTCCATTACAGGGATTTAACCTTTCATTGTATGGAGATATAGTACCTATACCACAGAGAAAATAACACCAGCAAAATTTGAAGCTTTGAAAATGTGGCACGGTGATGGTCTCTCTCTTCAGAAAATTGTTGTTAGTGTTTGTTAATGATTACTTGCACTTTATCTGCTTAATATTAATTCTTATTTGTTATTTGTTATTTGTTTAATCCTTTTTTTCCCCCCTCTTTTTTAATGTATTGTAGAATTTCCCTCCTAGATCAGTGCGAATAAAAGAAGAAACTCTTCTCAGATAAATCATTGATGCTGCCAAAGAGGGATGTGTAATTGATTGGTTCTGAAGACAAGTTCAAGACTATCAAAAATGAATTACCAGAAGAGGTGAGTTCAATGAATTAAGTAACCATTGTTACCCTTGAAACTCACAGTTAAACATATTACCATATCTTGCTAGGACACATCATATTTCAAATAACACAGACCAGAATTCACATTTTATTTCATTTATCTGAGTACTGATAATTGTGATTAGTGATGCCAGATTTGTTATATGCATATCTAGGTCTGTTTGACTATTCTTGATCTGCTTTGCTATGGAAAACACCAAAACATTAATGCAGCAGGAAGATGAAAACTCCCTTGCAGTAGAGGCAACAGAGAGTTCAACATTAAACTGGCTTATGAACGACAACAGGTGAGTGGCTTACCCTGTGATGTTTAAGAGTTACAATTCTTTTTGTTTTGCTTGTTCTGCAATCTCTCTCTCTCTCTCTCCCTACAGCTCTACTTCACAGTCTATTTAATTTGTTCTCGATTCATAAACTTGGTTTGAGAGCTATAAATAAATCAAGCATTTCAAAATCAATTTGTGTTCATCTCTTTAAAAATTTGTTTGAGATTGATTCGTTATGTAAACTAATCAAGCCTGAAAAAAGGTTAAATCTGGTTAATTTTCTGAGCTTGGTTTAGCAAGTTTATATACATTACAAAACTATATAAAAAAATAAAAAATTTAAGTTACTTGAACTCTGAATTAATTTTATTTCGATCAACTTGAAAGACAAATAAATTAAATTTGCACATATTTTTTAAGCTTGTTAAAATTTTAAAGGGTAAATTACAAATACACCCCTGAGGTTTGTTTAAAATATAGATTGCCTTCTATGGTTTGAAAAATTAGAAATATCCCCTAATTAGAATTTTTTATTTAACAGAGTTAACTAAAGAAATGAAATTCATAATTGCTCTCCTATACAATAATAAAATTATCTAAATTATTAATTGAAATATATTTTTAATATCATTAAAAACTGTTAATTGACTTGATGATTTATTAATAAAATGGGCGATTTGTTATGAAATTAAAAACATTAGGGGGGTAGAATATAATTTTTAAAATCACAGAGGCGATTATATCTTAATCAAATCTGAGGGGATGTATTTGTAATTTATCCAATTTTAAATAATATATTACTATCTTGTCTTATCTTCTATTCATGTTCAAATACTAACACCATGTTCTCTTCCGAAAGGGAGTCATTAAGACTAGAAACTCTTTCATGTCCACCTCTCTCTGGTCTGACAAAACCAATGACCAAAAATTTAGAAAATTTACTAAGAATATTAACTAAAAAAAATCAATGATCTATATTTATTGTCGAAAAATAGTTGAGAGTACTAAAAGTGAAACTTTAATAGCACCATTAATGATGTGGCAGTAGGTCCTGTCCACTGCCTATGCTTTGTTTTTTTTTTTTTTTTTTTTTTTATTTTTTTTTTTTTTTAACATTCCCAATATTAAGTGCTAATAGTAATCCTTTTTTTAATGGTATAAATCATTATTATTTGTTGTCGGCGTAATTATAAAATTAATATTTGAAATAAATTTTCATGATTCATAGTATTTTTAATCCTTTTATAATCGTGCTTGGTTTGAATAATTTGACATCACCCAAATGTTAGTCTGGGTGGTTAAGTTGTTGCTTTCAGTCTTTCGGCCTCACCTGGCAAGGTCTATATTTGATGACTTGTATTTATTCATGTCTATTAGGCAAAACCCTATTCATACCTAGAATTTTGCCTTATCATTGGATTCTACAGACTGTCAAGATCATCTATCACTGTTCTGTTGTCTGCAAGGGTAGTGTCATTGCCTTCTGGTCCGTATTGACTATTAAGGTCGAACATCTTCCACTCTCCCCACATGCACATCAACATTGGACCTTCTACAATTTACTCATCTATGGAATTTCAAATCAACCGAGTTGTTTAGAACAAGCTTAAATTTGAGCTCAAAAGCTTAAATCGAGTTGTGTATTGGAACTCAAGCTTAAACTTTATAAATATTGAAACTCGATTATGTACTATAAATAAAATCAAATGCTGTTTTTGACTTGAGTCATTTATAATCATATACACATAGGGCAAAATTGAAGAAAAAGTCGAGGAAATCCTAATTGAATAATGTCATCTTTAAATTTATCTACAATAATAATAACATGGGATTGAATCTTAGTTAATTAATTTTTAAATAAATCATAATAATTTACATCATTAAAAGAGTGATATTTTAAGAGTTAATTACTATTTTTCGTAATGTTTTAATGATTTTCTTGTACTTGACCGGCCATTCAAATGCTAAATAGTGTTTGTTATATTATATTCTTATAGAATAACATAAAATGAATTCTTGTATTACATTCAAAGACACGTGCCCTCTTCCTGCCATTTACACATCATTTTTCTTCATTCATTCAGTCTAAAAAAATGTAAGGACTTAAAAAAGTAAATGTATATTATTCGCATATCTATCTGTATATATAAAAAGGTTAATTGTACTAATTTTGTTTAATTATTAGTAAATATTATTTTACTCTTATCAGTTTTAAGTTCATACATATTGGCCGCCTCAATTAAAAAAAGTACGCTCAACTCAAAAATTCAAATTTGAATTTTTCTAATCTAACAGTCCATGTGGTGAAATAGTATGCCCATAAGGACATGATTCTACAAAATGACCAAATTGCCCAACTATATTTATTGTTCCCAAATCAAACCAAACCCTAACCAAACAGTCTCTCTCTCTCGCTCTCGCTATGGAAGCCACTCCAGGACTAGAAGTTCTTATCAACGGCAACATTGTCTATAAATCGTCCCGATCCTCAACAGTATTTCATTGGTCATAGTGGGGATCGTGGTCATAAGGGTAGATCGGAGAGGAGGTTTGTCAGGGAGATCCAAGATCTCTCCGTTCAACCTCATAATCCATTTTACAGATCAGTCAACACTAACATCTTCAGATCCAGTTTATTTGTCCAATTTTATTTTATTTTAATCTCTCATTTCAACCTCATAACCATAGCTTCAGTGTTTTTATTTCCTCTTTTTTTGGTAGTTTTTTTTCTTCTCCAGATCTCTCTGTTCAACCTTATAATTGTTGTTGATGATGAAACAAAAAAAAAAAATTCACAGATAGGAAAAGAAATGATACTTTCAACAGATAATTGTTATTTCAATAACAAAGATTTAAATTTTAATAGATAAAAAAATAAAATGACTTTTCACAGATAGAGTTTAAACATATAAAGAATGAGAGAAGTGGAGAGAGAAACAGATTGGAAGAAAAAAGAGAGATAGAGATAGAAACAGATAGAGAGAGAAAGTTTGAAAATGGTGTGAATTTGAAAAGATAGAAATAAGATTTTAAAAATTCAACATATAGGTTAAAAAATTTGAATAGATAGAAAAAAATTTTGAACAGTTAGATAAAAAATTGAATAGATCGAAAATAATTTGAATAGATAGGAAAAAAATTGAATGGATAGAATTTTTTTTGAATAGATAGTCAATGAAAAGTCAACAGATAAAAAAAAGTCCACAGATAAGTTAAGAGGTAAAATTGAAAACAAAATGTCCTTCAAAATTAACAAAAAGACTTTTTAACAAACTATTTTACAAATGATAGATCTCTCAGCAATAAAAAAATATTCACTGAATCTAATGTCTTAGACACTCTCTGATTTGGATTATTACCAATTCTCTTAAAAAAATTTAAAATTGTCCCTTATGACAGAAGTTTCGAGATGATGAAACTGATATATTTTTATAATTGAAAGAGTTTCGAATTAATAGATAAGGAGGTAGGAATCTTGATGTAAATAACCTTATCTAATAATAAGATGATTATATTTTTGTATAAAAAGTAGTAATCATCTCTTATGCTATTTTGGTTTATTGGGTTTCATTATTGATAAACGCAATAAAATGGGTAATTTTTGATTATTAAGTTGATTTAATTTTTTTCATAAATAATATAAAAAGACAGTCTTATAAAATGAATAATTCAGCCAGAGTAGCTGAACCTTTCCCATGAATGTTGAAGGTTTAGTACACGCACGAAGCTGGTTACTTATCCTGCTCTCCCTCTAGAACTTTCCACAAGTTCATTGCATCTAGGGCCTGAAATTGCAGGAGCCAATGAGATCACAAAGATTAGCCATCAATTAATCTAGGAATTCAGCAATATCGAGAAGACTCGGGCGGCAGGCTAGAACTAGCAATTATCTCTAACTACTGGTAATGACTTTATAAATTAAAAAAAAAAAAATTATTATAAATATATTAAAGTAATTTTATATGTTGTCTTGTGATATAACCATAAAATTTATAAATTAAATTTTATGGTTATAACTTTTAAAATTATTAGTTTAAAAAAATTAAAAATATATACATATAAATCTATTTAGTGCAATTTTTGATAGTTTGTAATAAATAAAAAAAAGTTAAACCTAATTAAATGAGATTACATGAGTTATGATATACCTCTTGTTGTTA